CTGTATACATCCACAAGACAACAGTATCTTAAATGACTTATATTGCTCTGGCCAACATTTCTCCAAAAAAGAAGACAGTGGAGATCAAAGCATCAAGAGACACAGCAAAAAGAACCAGCCCTTCACATCACACACCTCTTGCTCCATTATAGAATGTCATGTATATAACAAGTTTGCACTGACTCAAAAAGAAGCAGAGTTTTACTGCATGAATTCAGTCATCTCCAGCTACTAAATACAAAGTCATCACTGCGAGCTCTAGAAACCTGAGTCACAAATTGCCAGGAGTGCATTGCTCCATGACTCTTTTGCCCCCTCTGCTGAGCCTTGCCCTCCAAGCTCAGATGCTGAATTAGATGGTTCTTCAACTCACTTGTTACAGTTATTTTTAATGATCATTTTTGTAATCACATCAAGATACTACCTCATATTTGATTTGGATTCTACCACTCATGTGTTTATGAATAGATGTGAATGTAAAAACATTTTTTCCACCTGAGACACAAAAAATGTATTGAGACAACAGCTTGATGCAGAAAGCACACTTAATTTGAACACTTCTGTACACAACGAGAAGCTTGGTACAGAGGAAAGCCTTGAACAAATACTTCAGCTTTCTGCAATTGATTTCACATTCACTCTGAGACAGCCCATAGTTTCTAATCTCTGAAACAAGTACACTCTGTATGCTTCTGCTGCTACATAACATACAATTAGTTCTTTAAAATACTATTCCTATGAGACATTAAGAATGAATGATTTGAAATTCCAAAGTAACAATTACTGCTGCACATTGTGAGCTGCTGAGAACAAACAAATTTTCAAGGTGTAGCTAAACATAATCCTTTACTGAGGGCTAAAGAGTAACAGCAGCTATGGAACCCTTCCAAAGAGAGTAAGAATTCATTTCTCTTGCTCCTGAAGGTATCACCCAGAAGAGATTTTAAGGTAACTCCTATCCACTGGGATTCTAGTGACAGCAGCCGAGAATCCTGCCTTATCATGTCCCTGAAGATAGGCTCTGAAAACTTAGCAACAGCCTATTAAAAAAAAAGTCAGAGTCCAACTGCAGACACCAATTCATGTGGCTGTTTAGCTGCACATTTTACAGCATGTTGACCACGATTTCCTAATGACTGATGACGAAAACCAATTAAGTCCTCTTCCTGGAAAAGATCTATTTATTATTCCTGCACTTAAAACAAAACAGGTCATCTCAGGATCTGGCTATTTTCTCCACTCCTAAAAGCTATAAACAGGATAATAAACAGGATAATCAATTATTTGATGAGATCAGCTCACCAGTTGTAGAGAGGGAACTTGTTGGTTTCTGCCCAGCTCTACTAATTAGATGCAAGCTGTGGCCAGAGCAACAGCAACACCTGCAGTAGTGCCTATCTTCCAGCATGAAGCACAGAAGCGTAAAAACCAGCAGATAATCCTGAGACTGCTTCTGTTCTACTCTTGCTTGGTTTCTAAATCATTACCATTCACTGGCAAAGGCACTATAACATTACGTAGTCATCAGATATAATGAAGTTGGCCAGAACAGTTTTATCCTCTGTGAACACAAAACAGCAACACAAACACAAGACACAGACTAGTGGCATTTCTCCAGCAACTTGCAGCTGCCCCCCAGGTAGCCGCTGCAAAATCATTACAGACTGTGCTGAGTAGAAGGAGCAATGAACTGCCAAGTTTCTGGTACAATACTACATGAGGTCCGCAAGAAAACAGGATAGGAAGCTTTGTGAAAGGTACAGCTTTTAGATCACATGCATTGTGCACAGCTGGAATCTCTAAGCTAGCAAGTATAGCAGCGTGGACCTTCCAGGTTTGTTATGGACACAGCGTTGCTGCTTTTCTGAGCTACTGCACCCACGGCAGGTAGTTATACCAGCAAGCTGTGCCAAATGGGCAAGCTGCCATTTCCAGGCCCAAACTGGCTTATGCAGAGTAGGCTCAAATGTGCCAGTATAGTACACTGAACTCTTCCTAGGGCTGCAGAGCACGGCAGGCCAACATTTGGGATCACCAGTATAACACCTGGAAATATATGTACCCTGTCTGTTTCCTGTACAAAAACTCTTCATTGTTTAGGGATTAATCTTGATTACTTTGTGTTACTGCATTAAGTAAATCTCTGCCATCCTCCTCCAACAAGGAGGAAAATCATTTCACCTCTAACAAAAGCAGTGAGTGAGAAAATCTAGCAAGTCCCCATCCATAACTGCTGGCACTGCGAGAATGCAGCCATGACAAGCTCTAGAACAGAAACATCCTGCCACTTAACACGAGCAACACTACAAAGTGGGTAACTATCAGACTCCATGGGTTTGGCATTGACTCAAACATCCAACATGTAACACTTCACACGTAATACCTTCAGTCAGAGGTGTTCTTAGCCCAGTGTCAACGTAGTTCCTCAGAGTAGAAGCTGCTAATTGCTAAATCCACCATTAAATCCATCAGTAAAATGGGCCTGGATTTTAAAGAGAACTCCTTAGATGGAGAGATAAGGGAGTAGAGGGAAAGTGGTGAAGTGCAGGAGGGCAGGGAAGGAAGAGCCATGATTTGTCTTACTTCCCCTCCTTTAAACTGGGAAAGTGAAAGCACTACAGCCTCAAAGGCCTGGGAAAAGCTGTGGTATCAGCAGAAATCTAATTCATATCAGAGCTGAGTAAATTGCATTTATTCGCAACTGAAAACAGATTTGCAGATAGATTTTTAAACAACTTTCCTTTATGTTAATGAAAAATGTCCAAACAAGACAGCCCAACAACAGAGCAGTGGAACATTTGTTAAATGATATGCCTCTCACCTCAGCAAGATACTAATCTGGTATGTCCATCAAACAGAGATATAATTACCTTACATAAAAGGCAGTATTTGAACCATGGCAATTTTTGCTGAATAAAAGAATGAGAGCTTGGACAAGAAGAAATCGAGGGAGAAAAGCAGTCTAGAAACAAAACCAGACAAACAGGTTCTATATTAACTTGTAACCTACAATAAACAGGTATCTAAAAACAAAATTTATCAGCTTTTACTCCACAAACATTTTTCCAACTTCTGCTTTGTGACCACAACCAAGAACATAAATGCACGGTACAACACACTAATTAAGCCTCGGGATAATGGCAATGAAACACTTAAAGCAGGAGCTTGGACTTAAGTACACTGATAATGAAGATATTATAGATGTTGTCACAGAGAATACATGTTTATCACTAGGACAAACATGCTCCCTAGTAAGGTTTTTCTTCCTTTATCTTAAACCTGTAGGTTTGCAAACTGTCCTTGAAAAAGAAAGTAGAGCCCCGCACTCTTACAATTAAGGTGCTTTATCATAAAACATCATCCTGTCATCTTCAAATCTGTTTGCCCTTTGTGCTTTACAAGAAAAAGAGCCAGAGGCTTGAGCTGCTATTCCAAGTGCTCTGAAAAGAACAGGGCTATAACACTGTGAAGGCTGTGATCAAGCAGTGGGTTGCCCTGCTCTGGCGGTTTGGTGGCCCACTGCTTCAGCGCTGCTCTCCAGCCATTGTGTCCCTGGTGCTCTGGGAAATGTATTTACACAGTTTGCCCTGACAATTTGTGATCACAGAACAACTCAGATCAATCTTTTAATCTTAAACAAGCTGTTCATCACAAAACATTGCAGGCCAGCCTTAACTGACAACCAATATGAAAGGATGATCAGGCTGAACTACTGAGATGGGCAATCTAAATATTGCATTCGATTTAATAAACAAATAGTGTAATAATAGAGGTGTTAATGCTAACAATTATACCAGTTTTTATTTCAATTTATGTTCACTCATTAACAGTGAGCAGAAAGAAGAATTAAAATTATTGACTGTACCCATAATTTTTACCTCTGATAAGTGATTTGGAAAAATCTAAGCCATTTAGTATTAAAACAATCCCTGTAATAAAATGAAAGAAAATGAACTCCTTAATAGAAACCTTGAAAATAATGTTAGTGATCATTCAAAGAATAATATATTGAAACCATAAAAATAAAATATTTTGGATACTTTGAAGAGTGCTTATATGTATCTGTAAACTCATTTAAGTGGTTTTAATGCAAACAAAGGTAAATAAAATGAGTAATCCAACAGTGTACATGGCTCATCTCTGCATGTGAATAAAGACTAAAAGTCAACGTTCATTAATAAACTTTCAGATGGCAGAAAAAAAACCTTTAACATTCATTTTGCATTTAAAGTGTGTAAAAACCTGATCACCTGCCAAAGCACTGATTGCCATTTACCATCGCCATTACACAGCACTATTGTGAATTACTCCCTAGGAAACTTAATATACACAAAAATATCCCTGCAATGCAGGTTTGTACTGTGAGATGAAATGAGTGTAAGCTACGTTCCTTTAAATGAAGACCATTAATTAAAACTGAAGAGGGAAAAGGTCTAACAGCATTCTTACTCCCAACTTGGTAAGTCGGATTAAAAAAAACAAAAAGTGAAGCTTCTATTTCTGCCCGTGTTTAAAAAAATTCAAGAAAAGACTGGCTGAATCACAGACATTAATGACATCATAGAAGTACCTAGCATTTTCAGCTAGTACAAATCTCTAGGTCATAGCAAGCAAAGCTAGCTAGGTCACAAGTAAGCTTAAAAACTACAACTGAACTGCCAAAACCAGTTAAAGGCTATGCGTGAATTTCAAGGCCTCCCAAGCTCCCATCCTGTCTATGCTTTGGCTGCATCTCTGGATGAAGCTTCTCCTTCATACATCCTACACTACTACATGCCCTGATCTTTAATAAAGACTTTTTTTTAAACTTATTTGGAATTGATTTAGAAAGTCCTCCAGTTCTAGACAAAAAACCGGGGACCAGAGAGTACCACAGAAAGTGAACTGTTCAGGTGAAGTACCTATGGAAATACTTAAAATAATGATTAACACATGAACAAATGAAGTGTCAATATGAATAACAAACAAATGTAACAGAAGAAAACGTTTTTTAAAAGTACCTTATTTTCAGGGGAGCTTGAAGTCTTTGACACCAACGCTGCTTCAACAAGACCCTGCTCAAGTAAGGAGTCATATTTTATGCTTCTTTTTCTGTTCCTCCTCTCCTTGTTTGTTGGTTTTTGTTCATTTTCCTCTGACTGTGACACATCTGCACCATTGTCTCCACAAATGGAAGATTCAAACAGAGGTTTTCCATTCATGTAGGTTTTAGTGATTTTCAGCTTGATTTCTGGAGAACCATTCTTGATAGGAGTAGTGTTTGGTGGTGTTCCAACTCCTTTTATTTCCTGGGGTTCAAAGCGCAGCTTGGCATCCTGGGCCCCAGATTCACCATTGAACACACGAGAAGTCAGATCTTTCAACTTATCAGCTGGGATGAATGGAAGAGCATCATGGCCATTATATTTTTGCATGACACCTTCCTGCAGAGTGGCAGAAAGTTGTGCTTTGCCCAGGTAGACAGAACACTCACGATTCACTTCACAATTCTGAGTCTTCCCATTGGTATTTCCAAGGATCTCTGGTACTTGCTTCATTTTTAAGTAGTTAATTTTTCGAGTTAAAAGTTGAGAACTTCTTTTGATGCTAAAGTCCATCCAGCCCAGATGTTTCCAGTCTTACACTGCTATATGAAGACAAAAAAAAAGAAATCCAGAAAATATTTTTAGCAATACAGAGATGAGAAAAGCTGCTAAGTATTTAAATAGAGATGTCTCCAACAGCGTAACATTAAGAATGTATCTATTCAAGTTTTACTAATAAAAAGTGTTGCTTAGAAACTTCATTATCAAAATACTTTAATATGTGCTAATACACTTTATGTAAAATGCCAAGAAAAATAGATTATCAGTATTATTAAAATAAAAACATAGAGAAAGTCACAGCTTTCCTTTTAATATTCTTTCATTGATCTACAGCAGGATTCTACCCATACTAACTACTCAGAAGTACCGCACTGTTTAAATCAAGTAAGATTTAGACACAAGTAAATATTATTTACAACCATGTTATGAGTTCAGATCTAAGAGGTTGCGCCAGAGTAAAGGGCTGCACTACTGTAGTACTACACCATGGACAGCAGCACGACAAGCTTCTCCTCCTCGTTCTAAGGGCAGGCCCTCAGTTTTCCGTGGAAGCATCCTGAGGAAACCACCCACACAGCTCAGTCTTTCACCATAGCTCACGGATTTCTGACTATGAGAATGAATAAAAGGCCGTCATTTTGTTTCATAAACATCAGCCCAATATGAAGCAGCTCATCCTACAAGCCCATGGATACGCTGTGCAAAATATAATTTCTCAAGGTAACTTCTGTTATTGTCATTAAAAAGCTGGAACTCCATTGTCCACCAACGTTTTTTTTTCATACAGACTTCTGAAAAAAAAGAAAAGAAATACAATAAGCCAAATCTACAAATCTACTCTATCATCAGCCTTAGGCAGGTTTTCTGGGCGTTCTAAAATCTAGCCGTGCCCATTTCACCTTTATACCATCTTAGCAAACACAAACATCTGGCAGATAGATTCCTTTGTGCAGGCATTACCTCCTAGACCAGGCAAATATGACTGTTTTTCACTTATAAAATTCATACGTACAGACTCTTCAGATTAGCAAGTCCAGAATATATGATATACAGAAAAACATTGCCATAAATATTATAAAATCTCAGCATAACAATCATACTATCTATGCTTAAGGTAACCAATTTCATGTATGATAAAGTCCAAGAGGCCAAGTCATTCCCAAAGATTCACCACATCCCTTCTCATGTGTCCATCTCCATACAAGTTCTACAGACTCATCTGAGAGATGCAAGCATGGGGTCAAAGTAAGTTACATTCTCCAGGGACAAACAGCCTGAAAATCTGGCATTAACAAATTAAGGAAGAGCAATGCACCTGAACCCAAGGGAGAAAAGGTTTTGAATTTTTTTTTTAGCCGTGTGAAATGTGCATTAACAGTAAAATCTCTGATATATGATTAGAAGCTAGTGAAAGGTATTAACTGTTTTCATAGAAGAATCAGAAGTAAATGGAAAACCTAAACTTCATCAGAGCAAAACAAAGAACCCACTAAATCAAAACAGAACTCATGCAATTTTGCAAGATCTTCTCCAAAAAACATGGACAATTTTTAAAAAGATTCTCAACCCAATTAATAATATGACAACATTTCAAACTGTAATTTAGCAGATTTAACTGAAATCAACATTATTTTTAAGTAACCACTGATGACAAATTCAATAAATCTTAGCAGAAAGGCCAGCCCATTATAGAATGTGCGAGGCTTACAGTTACACAAATGATAGCAAATATCTTTAAACAAATAAACAAACAAACAAACAAACAAACAAACCACCACCAACAACAAAATCCCTAAAACACTGAAGTTTAGAAAATCCCCCAGACTCTTGATAGAGTAAACCAGAAAGCAGACCAGAGATTTGATTTCAGCTTCTACATTCAATCTATCTAAAAAAATAAGCCTATACAGCCTGAGCAGCTGTGAACGTGGTGCTCCCTTTTTTGTGGCTGTGGACGCCCTCCAGTGGCTATCCAGATAGGCCAGAGCACCAAATGCCACAGCTTGCTGCTTCCTTGCCCAACAGGAATGCTGCAGACCACAGCTTCTCATAACATGACCAGCACCAAAAATGTCTTGCGCAACTACTTCAAATCCATGAACTAAGCAGTAACTAAGTAAATAAATAAGTGGCCCCATTAACTGCTTACCAGGATCTGGATTTCTGAATCAAGATGTCTGCATTTTGTAACGCTGTCGTTTTCCATCTGTAATTCTACCAGTATTCTTTTTTATTCCTGCTTAATAATAACTCTTATTTTCATTACTTATTTCCTTAAGCTAGAAAGCTATCAAGCTCGAGGCAGACCAGGAAAAGAAAAAAAGCAAGAACTAATCAAATCAGACCATATTATTATTAGTGCGCTCAATAGAACAAACTGGATGAGCTGCAGAAGTGACAGCCGCAGAGTAAAGGTTTGGTTAATGACTCCCAGTAACACGGGGCACTTTGAAAAGCTGAATGCGCTGAAAAAGACTCCTCAAATTGCAGGAGCCTAAAGAGAGAAGAATTCCAGGTGCATGACTGGTGAAAGGAAGTCAGAGCCAGGTCTATGGTAAATGCGAAGATGAAGGCAAAGACCATAATCTGAGTCAGAAAGACCATCACAACTGGCAGTATGCAGACTTTAGAATGTGAGAAATAGACTGTGACTGTACAAAGAACAACTGAGTCAAATGAAAAGAGGTGTAGAGGTAGAATAATGGTAAAACACAAAGTACCTAGAAGCAAATAAAGTCAAGGAGCCCCATGACAGAGATGACGCTTGTAGAAAGCAACTTGCAGGTCAGTCATCATTTCTAGGACAACCCAATGGAGGAGAGGGAAATGGTCAATTCACTTGAAATAGAAACTACGCTGTGGAATTCTGTTAAAATTATGAAACCAGGAAATTTGCACTCACAGGAATAACAGAGGGCCTTGGAAAGAATGGCAAATTTGAAGCTAGTAAAATTTTGCACAATTTTTGCTGTCTTAATTTTATGGTAGCACAATACCATAAACAAAAAGGACCGAGCATTTTGTGAAAGGAGGACAATAGAGCACAGATGAAGAAAAGGAAGAAAAAAGAAGTTACAGGCTGTACTATGAGCTTAGATTTAAAGCAAGGAGAACTAGAATTCAGGACATGAAAGGATGAAGTGAGAAAGATCACAGAAAAGATCTGGCTGATCAGAGTTGTAAGAGTAAGGTCCTGAAGCAGCTCAGCATATGAATAGGTTTTGTGGTTAAAATAACTTCATTCTTAGACAGACATCTCCCACATAAACAAAAGCAATTCCTTATCTTTTTCTAGATGACACTGTATAGAAAAGGAAGCTTGGGGGAGGGGAGGGAAAGGCAGGACAATAGCACCATACAGTAATAGCTGCTAATGAGCTTAAGCTAGTAGCGTCCCATATTGACTGTCTGGTGACCCAACAAGTACCATTTTCTCTAATGAAGAGGAAAAAAACATGAGAGCCAAGAAGTCTGCTGAATAAACACGGTATTTTGGCCTGTGAACAAGTAGTTTTCAGTAACCAAAAGGGAATATGACTTACAAGAGAAAGGTCTCTAGACATTTTAACGGAACAATGATACATCCTGGTAGTGGCTTTGTATGTACTTTCATAGTAAAACACAGGTTTTATGTAAGGCAAATTATTTTGCAGACAATTACAGTGGTTTTATTAATTACTTAAAGGTCTGTCATCTGACAGGAGTCATGAGCCAAACAGAGTTTGCCTGCATGTCACGTTCTTTCTTTACAGTCCAGGCCACCATCAATTATGTGATACTTATTATTCACTTCTTCCACATCTGCTTCAATTTCAGAGATGTTTTTCTTGTGTGTCAGAAATAATGGAGCAGTCCATTCTTTCCAATTTGGTCAAAGGGAGAGAACAGAGTAAACAACAACATCACATGAAATACCACTTCTGTTTTATCTAAATGTTTTCTTAAAGTCATTTCTCAGGTACGCAAATTTACAGTAAGAGAACATGCACAAAAGCTACATTTATTATCTACAAATCAGGCTTCAGCTGGTATTAAAAAGCTAATAGATGGCTACTGTTCGTTTTTGTTTCCTGTAACTTTGTGGTAAGTCCTCTCCATTCTCTCAGCAACTGTAAGGTCAAAGGCCTTAAATTCCTGTTTTCAGATCAGAATTAGACATAATACTTGAAGATGAGCACAGTTATAACACATTCAGCTGAAAACCTGGAGTATGCTCATTCCTACTACCCCATATAAAAGAACAAACCAGAATATCAAATAGGAATAAAATCATAGGACATACTCTCTGTCATGCATTACACTGTGACCATTCTTCACTGCATTAAAATAATGAAAGGTTACTAAAGGACTACTAAACACAATTTACTTTTAGAAAAAAAACACAATGTACAACTGAAAATTGTCTTGTGGATTTGCCAATAGTTGTCATAACCCAGCTATATCCAGCAAATTCACAAAGGTTACTAGAGCAGCTAGTAACTAGTACTAGAGCAGCTAGATAACTGAAAATCATTATACCAAAACTTCCTAACAATTTAGCAGTCCTAGAAATGTCTGGAAGACCGAGAAAAGTAAGAACTTCAGTACAGGGAGACCATTTCAATTTTAAAAGCACCTGAAGATCTTCATTAATCTTGCAACAATGATTCTGGTTAACCTCCAACAAGGTGTTTTTAAAGCAGTACGTGAACGTTTCTTCATGCTTGCAGAACAGAACAATGATTATATAGAGACCTAGTATGCATTTACACAAGACTAAGCTTATTTTGAAAACCGTGTGAAAAGTTTAGAGTCATCAGAGCACTAAGACTTGCACTTGCTTGCCACCAACTTTTTTTTTTATTTAAATTAGCATCTGTATTTTTTTGTTCTTTTTCCCAATGAATAAAATTTCAGAACTTAATTGTAACAATCTGTTCTCATTGACTGAACCAAGTATTTACGGCCTTCTCCTGAAGGCAACAGGCAACACCAGCTTGTACAAAATACTCGCTTGTACAGTTAGGAATTGTACAATGGCAAGTAAACAATTTCTTCACTG